TGCTGTTCCGCCAGTGGAGATTTTAGGTTTTCGCACGTGTCGATGGATCGGTAGAGTTTGATGTATAATAAAACCTCCGTGTAACTTCCTCCATATCAAATCCGATGTTGTTAGTGTCCCGTCCTCCTTCTTCAAACACGAAAGCGAAATACTGTGGTCCTGAAAATCCTGATTGCATTTTCTCAGAAGTTCTGTTCAAGGCTGCCTCCAGTAGTCTCCTCTCCCTGTATAGCTGAAGGTCTCGCCGCACTGCTCGTCTGTAACTGATATTCGTTTGCAGCCTTTCGAGATGTGTGGCGTTCTGGTCGAGCCTCAAGCTTCTTCTTGTTCTGAGAAGATCCTTCCGTCGCAACTGAAATGCGCGCGGAGGTGTCCACTCGCGGAAGCTAGGCCTGTTCGGCACAAGTGAGGAGACTCCGGACAGCGCGTCGTAGCCTTCGGTCGGGTCATCCGAGACGTGCCAGTTATATCGGGACAACTCGTCATTCAGAGCATCTTCGTCGTATACTACATGCTTCATGCTCTTTGCGCGATGTTGAGAGTTCTTTTCCAGCTTTTGACTGAATGATCTTAGCGCGAAGGAATCGATGATCAGAGCCACTGCCGAAAGATGGTGCGACACCTACATCTGGTAGGCACCACTTTCTTTCGTTAAATGTGGTCCAGTTCAGCACGAATTGTACCGTTTGGAGACTACCATGTCCAGCGGCATTCCTTCTTCTGGAAGAAAGAGTTTCCATAGAAGAGTCGAGGAGCCGCGGACAGGAGCCCAGCTTAACAGTTCTCTTCTCGTTCTTGTAATCCATTCTAAACTTTCCAATCCTGAACTACTCCTCTTTTCCTTCGTCAAGCCTAGTGTTGAGATCTCCAACAACGAATTTGTGGAAGGACTTTTCGTTGTGGGTGATTTCTCGAGTTGGTCGTAAAACGCATCGAGCTCTACTTTGTCAGTGGTAGAGTGAGGAGAGTAACAGTTGACGATGGAGATGGTCTTCGATGCGTATGTCGTAGGCGTAGGATGGCAAAGCGAGGAGGCAGGACTTTGTGAGAATCGAAGAGATGGACGAGAGATGGGTGCACGAATTAACCAACGCCGGCAACTATCTGCTATGGAGCTTTTCACCACCACGAATGATGAGGGTTCCATCATTCATTCGTCGTACGTCGGTCCTCCTGCGCTTGGTCTTATGCAGCGCAATCACATGATATTTGATGTGACTAGACGCATTGAGGAGCTCATAGAGAGCGGCATTTGAAGAGGCTTTTCTCGCATTGTAGGCATAAAGTAGGAAACAGTCTCCGTGTCGTGCGGAGGGAGTTCGCTTTCCTCGCAGCAATCCATTCATGAAACTCCGTATGCCAAAAACCCTATGATCATACATACTACAAGGAACAGGTGTATCAGAACTCTTTAATTCGCAGCTACTCCTTGACTTCAATGGAAGCGCCTTTCCCCGTTTTTCCTAACCACCTCATCCTATAGGCAAGTGCTAAATTATGAATCTACCTAAATACAAAACATTACATCTCCCATTCTTCGAATACGGCAAATCACACAAAAACTAAACAGGCAAAACAAGTTTGACAGAACTGTTCATTCAGGTTCAGGTAAGGTGATTCACTCTTCACTTATCTTTCAGCCCTCCCTCATTCGCACGCGAATGCGAACCCTATCGCGCTGAGAGGTGTCAGGGAATGTTTTCCTTCATCCTTATTTTTTAGCTGGTCTTCCAAACGTCTCCCCACAATAAAATGAAGCGTGATTCCACGAACCGATACTTTCATTTAATGGCACAGTTTACTGTGAGATAATTACCGAGATATTCACCTAAAATGGTTCACTGGTTCCCAAGCATGTCATATGGTGCGCTGTCAGTCGGAAATTTTTTTCAAATAAGGCAACCAAGGCTCAAAGACCGGCCACATCGACGTCACTTCCAAGGCACGCGGACGTTTTTCAATGTGGATGAAGGGAATGGCCCATTCACATTGAAGCGCACGTGCTAGAACTTCTGAAATATTTTGAAGACTTTACTAGTTGTGCCCTATGGCGACAGTGGAAGGCAATGTTTCGCATTTTTGGGCTCCCTCTAATTTTACACCTTCAAAGATGCCTCATATTTTGCGGAAGCTGGAGCCTTGTTTTAAATAAACATTCTTTTCTCACTGTCTACATGAAGGGCATAACGAGATTAATGAATATTGGCTTCAAAGCCCTCTCATCAACCATTATCACTTGCTATGGATTACTTTTACCAATCATCAGCTTCTACCATCTGTGTTCCATTTAAATTCGAGTACTATAGGCCCAGGAAAGCAAGAGTTATGAAGTTTTGGTCAAGCACACTTAAGTATATGGGCTCACACGTAGACATACATATACACTCCTAATCACAGGCACGCTTATGTTCGTAAACACCAACACAACACACCGCCCATACTCACCAGTAGACACTCTCAGAGAATTTTATGTGTGTAACGGTCATCTGAAAGTTCTTCTTTTAGGTTTGATCTCGCCAAGCTTTATAGTACTTTACGTGATAATATTTGTCGTTCTGATAACAATTGCCGTTAGATTCATTCCAAAGAAGCGAAAAGAGGTATGTGGTGATACTGCTCCATGTTTTTCAAAGCTCTCCTCATATTGGATGAGAATTTCAGCCACGATTCGCTGCGAAGACAGCACGTCCAAAGAGCACAGCAAAGACCACAACGACGAGTAGCACTGGATCTAGTTCTTTCATTGCCAAAATGGGCCTCTCTACTAGACTACATAGAAGAGACAAGCATTCCGCTAAAACTGATAATAAGTCCAGTGTTCGTACTGCTAGCGCTACTGCTCCAACAGCAAAGAGTGTTCGCACTGCTACTGCTACTGCTACTGCTACTGCTACTGCTCCTGCTCTAACAGCAAAGACCGCAACGTCGAGTAGCACTGGATCTAAGTCTCTTATTGCCAAAACGAACCTCTCTGCTAAGTTGCATAAAAAAGACAAGCCTTCCACTAAAACTGATAACAAGTCCAGTGTTCGCACTGCTACTGCTACTGCCCCAACAGTCCCGACTATCAAAGAAACCAATATCCTCAACAAAACTGAAAGTAAATAGAGAAATACCTTTTGATGCAAATACTATTGTACTCGAAATCTGTGACGTTTAAATTATAATAAAGTTTTCGAAATGGTTTCGATTTCATTAGTGACAAGGAGACTCACTGAACAGTAGTCCCAGGAGTACTTAGCCTCTGTAGTAATTTTTAAATGCATGCATTCCTTGGAGTACATACGAACGTAACAAGTAGATTTGAAAAAACTCTCGAATTGTGTAGCCTATATACTGAAAAATAAATTCCTCGATTGACGGAAATATCTGGAGGCTGGAGGCTGGAACCACAAGGGCCTATTTGAAACGAATCAAAGTTGGAAATTCTACGGTGACTGATAAAGTGGACATGCTCAGTCGTATCTGTTGGACAACAACCTCCCTCTGTTGCTCCGTTTAAGCTCTAAGCACTAACGCATGCGTCACAACAAGGAGCGCGTCAAACAGACATGAATTTTCAAAACTGAGCCCCACTACTCAAGAACCAAGTCATAGGCTGCGGTAGGGAATGAGTTTATACGAAAAACTCGGGAACGGTTATTTCGCCACGGATAAGTTCTTTTGTCTCGTTTGATTGACCACTCCTAGCCTTTGCTCATGTTTTCCGTGTCTAGACCCTTTTGGAGAAAAATTATGCAGTTTTTCTCATTGCACCGCCCATTCCGGTGAATGTTCCGCCTCCTGGGAGAGAGACCACCAAAGTTTGCTCTGAGGGATTAATATTTCAAACATGTGCCTGTTGATTTTGCCAGGAGTCAAAGCCATCCCGAAGTTGATCCAACTTCCTCAGCTTCTTAATGCCGAATTTGATGGACGCATAGACAGACAGGAGCAGATCCTTCATAACTGTTAAGTTATGATTGATTTCATATGTAATAGGAATGGGTAAGCATGATTACATCATACTCAGAAAGATTTCAGAACTTTACCGACATCTTCGCATAGAGTTTTGAATGTTTGACTCCGCCCATCTCAGTGCGAGCTCCGCCCGCGTCGGAGATTTGACCGCATCCCTTCTGTTGCCTTGAACCACTTTTTCGCCGCCTTTTAGGTTTTTGACAGGGTTGTTAATGTTTGATCTCGGCCCCGCATTACTGCTATTACGACTATCGGTTTTTGAAAGTCTCTCTACATGCATATTAGAGAGTAGCCTTCCTTCGATCGCACACTCCGCCTGAGCTTCGCTACTTTTACTCATGCTCAGCACGCATGGAGCCTTGCTCAATCCTTTCATTTTTCTGGCCTCCACGCTTTCGTTGAATCGAGATATGAATTTATGTGGAAATTACCACCCACACACTAACACGCTACGCCCACCGCTGACAATCTACTACATTTTACTTTTTGACCCATTCCTCCCTTTACTCATTTTTCTCGTCGTATACACTCAATAAAAACTAATTGTAGGCACAGTTCACAATTAAAATGAATCCTGAAATTCCTCTATAAGATGAACTTCTGACCCCAAGGGTAGCACACGGGACGCTGTCGTGTTGAAAAACGGTCCAGGTAGGGGCGGACGAGTTACCACGACGTTGTAGGGGCTGTAGAGGTTGCACCACTCGCACCGGGACCCACACTTCGCACGCAGGCAGCTTACCATTAGTGCAGGTAGAACGTCTGTTCTGCACGTCCTCCGAAACCAGGTCACTCCGCCCGATTCGCGCGCGGCGCAGCCCAAATGCGGCCTCGTGATGACATTACAGTGCAACCAAGTGTCAGCTGAGCGAATAATTTGCACTAGTCCGTTTTATCTTCTCTCTAAGATGACTGCCGCAGACCAAGCGCAAATCGTACGCTCTACTGACAACAGCGACGTCCATCAATAAACCGCCGCGTGCGACGGCTGCGGCGTGACCAACTTTCGACGGACGCGCGGAACGAAGCGCACCCATTGTTTGAGGGATGCACCCTTTCATTCCACTTCCTTTCAGAATCGAAATTTCAGTTTGATTGCGACTGTGACCTAAGTCTCTGATTTTTTGCTCTCATGTAACTCTGGTACGACTTAATCAGATCCCAGAGAGATGAAAAATTTCATTCTCGGTAGCTATTGACTCGAGATTCGAACCCGAATTTTTCTGAAGATTTCTTGATAGCAAGAGGCAAACCGAAGCAGTAGAATCTTCAGACCCGTTCTTATTTGAATTTTTAGAGAAGTTTCAAAAATTCCAGAAGGAAGGAGAAACGAAAAAAGCCGAGAACGTCTTCGCAATTGGCATGGTCTTCCCTTCCGAGGAAGTGAGACAACTTGGTGACCCGATTCTCGAAACTCTGCTTACGCCAAAAGACACTAGTCGTATCAGCTGTCCATGGAAGGTTACGGATGTAGGCGTGATTCAACATCTCGCATGCCTTCCCAGGAGTACCGTAAGGATGAATCAGACAGACCGAGAATCCCGTGCTTCTTGCGTGGACACGAAGGACATTGGAGAGCCGAATATCCGAGCTTCTTTGTGGGTCAATCCACGATCACATCTCTATGTGGGCGGCTCTCAAACCGAATGCATTGGTCATTAACCTATTGGCGACCGGACCTGTGATACCGTCCTTACATTAACTTTTAATTTCTCTTATAACTGTTGGGAATGAATGATTCCTGAACCACAATGCCTCAAGATTCTCTAGAAGACTGTGAGCTCAGGTGATACTTGAAAACATAAAAAAAATTATAAGAACACTCGATAAATAATATAAATACTACAGGACACACCATATCGTGCTCCTGTAGTATTTATATTATTCATCGTCAATGGGTGAAGGACAACGCTTCCATTCGACAAGGCTCCCGAGCCATCCCTTGCTGAAAATCGCAAATAAGCAAAAATATGTAGTTTGTTGACAGTAATATAATACTTCAGGATTATCAGCAAATGGCACGATTGCACCAGTAAATCATATCAAAAAAATCAAATCAGTAAATCAAATCATAGACCTGACGATACATCTGCTCAGGGTGGCAGAGGGGAGGAAGTTGGGACTCGTATTAGACCTTTCCTCTCTTATCAGATATGTCGCAAAAAATCGTGTCAAACCTGATCTTAAATCTGTTGAGAAAAATAAGACATTCGTTACTAAGGGCAGGATTCATGACATCTTTCGATTTCAGAGAAAGATATCATCATGCTCACATTGCGGTACATAGTCAGCAATTTCTGGGTTCCGAATAGGAGGCAATTTCTGTGAACTTAGCGTACTCCCTTTCGGCCTGACTTCCACACTTCGTTTCTTCCCATTGTTACTAAAATGCTCAGATCGTTCGTCAAAAAATGGAGACCATAACGACGCAGGGAATTACAACCCACCTTGATGATTACCTTATTTGGGTTACTCCCAGATCAATTGATTGGATACGTTATCATATACGAGTATAGTCATTTAAGATGGGGACAGAATGTGTTTCAGACACAATGACCTGCTCAGCAGCAGAGGCTCAATTTCATGAGTATACTACTTGTTACAGACGGGTCTTCATTCAGAAGAGGAGAACGTGATATACACCATCATATATAGCTAACAGAGGGAGTTACAGTTTCACTTCCCCCAGCAGAAAGGGTACGCGACCCAAATTGTGTTATA